TAGTCACTCTGTTCTCAATAAAGGTTGCTGTTTGCATACCCGCTTGTCGCGTCCCTTCCCTTCGCTCCAAGATGCAAAAGTAACCAAAATTCCAAACCTTCAAACTACACAATAAAGGAAAAAAGAACCACAAACTGCAAGCCCTCTAGCGCTTAGCAATGCTCCTTCTTTGTCAGAGAGAAGGACAAAGCAGACAGAACTCTTGTCAATTTCATTTCTGCAAAGAATGCACAAGGCTGTGCATGACACTGCCTTTCACTATTCTTTTCCTCTCTTCCCCTTCTTCCTACATTTCTTGCTGTGCTTGCAGAATATACAGAAATCTCCGGCTGCTGTGACTGCCAAAAAGATCTTGAGGTGAAACACAGCTGCCTTGCAAATATCCTAATATTTTCTTTTTCTTTTTGGGTGTTTTGTTAATATTTACTAATCATCAAGGCATCTTTATGTGTAACCATCTATGTTAACCAGGGGTGGTATTCACTTACCTTCCCTACCGGTTCGCAAACCGCCTCTACGCATGCGCTCAGCCTTCTACGCATGTGCTTTTAGCTAAAAAAAGGGCCTAAGTGGGATGTCATAGAGCCTGGGTGGGCGTGGCCACCAACGATTTCCACTGCTGGTTCAGGCAAATCGGTCCGAACTGATAAAATACCACCTCTGATATTAACTGTTCAATCCATCTTCATTTCAATTGATTATGTGTCATTAAGTTGATATCACCTATTAACACATTTTTTTTTTCTGGGATGAACCTTCCTCAGACTGGTCTTTCAGGTCTTCTAATAGTGCACCCATAATTTCTGAGTTGACTTCAACATCTTGCTGCTGGTTATTTTCTTTTTCCCTTTCCTAGTATTAGAGATATCCCAAAGGAGTTAGGCCTTTGCATAATGTGATGGACCTCACATGAGAGCTCTGGGTTGATCGGTTTCGGTTATCCATTGATCGGTTATTGTTTTTTGTTTGTTTGTTGGTTTGCTAGCTATGATATTCTCAGGACTCTTCTCAAAACCATAAATACCTTTTCTATCCTGCTTTTCAAAATCTAATTTTCACATCCATAGCAAAAACCACTCCTTGCTTCATCCTGATCTTTGTGGCCATGGACACATCAGACATCCAAATATTTTGTCAAGACCTTTATTACTATTTTACCAAGAAAGATGCTAGACTGCAGCATCTTTCTTGACTACTAATTGTTTTAGTGTTTTAGTGAATCCTAAAAGGCAGAAGCTATCCACCACTTCAGTGTCTTCATCATCAGTTTTAACACTGGTTGCTAGAACCTCTGTCATTACATTGTTCTTCTGTATATTTAATCTTACTCACCTTTTTCATTGTGACCCTTGCCTTTACTACTACAGTTTGCAGTTAGTTTATATTTTCAGTTATAACAGTAGTGTCATCAGCATGTTAGGATTCATTATTGATCTTATTCCTCCAGTTTTAAAAAACAAGATCGTCTTTTCCAAGCCAGCTTCTCTCACTATAGATTCAAGATATAGGGAATCTATATACAAATAAGGGGAGAGTCTACAGCTTTGCCTCATTCTTTTGCCAACCTAGAATCAGTATGTTTCACCATATTCTGTCCAGGGTTTCTAAATTGGGATTTGTCATAGTTATTGTCAGCCTCACCTATACGCATATTCATTATCTGTATTGTGTTATTCTATTCCGTAAAACTTCACATAGACTATAAGAAGGAGACATAACCTAGGAAATAAATATATATATATATNGCTCCTCGTTCAAACCCGGGGATATAAATGTTTGGCGCGAACCACGCCAAGCTGAATCGTAGTCACTCTGTTTTTAATAAAGGTTGTTTTTGCATACCCGCTTGTCGCGTCCCTTCCCTTCGCTCCAAGATGCAAAAAATCCTCTATTTTATTTTGTTCAGGCCAGGCCGGCTTGCTGGAAAAGCCAACTTTTTAGGGTGCATCGGAAGGACTGGAGGTCGGGAATTATGCAAAGCTACGGGGGCAGCTCATTCCAGAGGGAAGGCACTCCCACAAAGAAGGCTCTCCCCAGGGGGTTGCTAGCCGACACTGTCTGGCCAACGGCACCCTGAGGAGACCAACTCTGTGGAATAGCACTGGACGGTGAGAGGCTACTGGTGGCAGTAGGTGGTCTCGCAGGTACCCTTGGTCTAAGCCATGGAGCGCTATAAAGGTCATAAGTAGTACCTTGAATCGCACCCGGAAGACAACCGGCAACCAGTGCAGGCCGCCTAAAAGGAGCTCAACATGGGAACACCTAGGTACCCCCATGATAACCCGCGCGGCCGCATTCTGGACCAGCTGAAGCCTCCGGGTGCTCTTCAAGGGCAGCCCCATGTAGAGAGCGTTGCAGTAGTTGCAGTAGTCCAGGCGAGAATTCCACTTGGGAGTCTCAAGTCCCTTGATGCCCGCCAGAGATCTAAGTCCAGTCCATCTTGAATTGTGTTGACTCTTTATCTCCCGCCTATCTGCTTTGAACTGTTAGTAGTTGAGATTCTTGCGAAGAGCGTTACCATGCCATATGCCTGTATTCATTTGAGCCGCCTTGGCCCCTGATTTTCTCTGCTTCGCACCTACCTTAAGGCCCAAGAAAAGTTTCTGACGTCTGTGTAATCTCTCCTTCCTTCCTACCTAGCTGGAAGAGGAAGAGCAAGAGGATCAATTTGAACTTTCCGTGGGAGTGAGTGATCCCGAGAAAATTGGTGAGTCCCCGCGAAACGGGAAAAGTTTGACAGGATCGTGTAGGGTTAAACCCTGTTGGACGTGCAGCCGTTCACTAAATTCACTGTATCCACCTTCTGACTTCAGCATTGTTTTTTTTAATTAAAGTTTTTTTTTATTTTCAAAACAAACACAACACATAAAATCTTCCTTTTTTACATACTGTAGAAAGACATGTCAGTGTCTTCCTTCTGATCTCTCCAGTGACATCAGATTCCCCCGTCAGTAGCATCCTATCCCCCACCTAACCCTGCCGAGTGGATTAGGTTCAAAGCAAGTGATCCAAACTCACCTGTAAAGAATGGGTTCATCTCCCGGAAGGGTATGGCTAGCTGAGATGAGAGCTAAATCATTTGGAATAGATCTGTACTAGTCTCCCTTTATGTTGATAAATATAAATTCAACACAAAAAAATAGTTTGTCACGAAAGCGACTGCCTGCGAAGGTCCCTGGATTGGGGCGGAAAGACAAATAAGGAAGCCGTATGCTCCCACTTAATCTCTCCCCTGGTATAGCCAACAAAGCGAGGAGAGCCTGTGGCTTAGAGGTTAATACATCTACCTAATATATGCAAGTAGCCCATATTTGAATCCCAGAAAGGGTACGGCTAGCTGATGAGAGCTAAATAGTTTGGAACAGATCTGTACTAGTCCCCCTTTATTTCTTTGTCGGTAAGTACATAACGGATTAACAGAGTTGGAAAGACCTTATAGAGCTGGCAGCACAGTCGGACAGGGAGGAGGTTGGGGAGGAGCATGGGCCAGTCCAGGAGGCTGTGGAAGGCTCGGACGAGGCTCTGCGTCGGAGGCAGAGATGGAGCTGAGACCGTCTGGCAGTGATCAGGTGCCTACGGTTGCTAGACAGCAGTGAGGCAGAGGAACAGCTGGAGCCTGTTCCTAGTGTGCACATGCGCAGAGATGCCAGAAGAAAACAACAACTCAAAAATCAGGGTCGACTTGGGAGTAAAGTCATAGGTGGAAGGAGATTGGCCCCTCCCATAGGACATAAAAGAGGAGCAAAAGGGGAGTGGGCTTTTGCAGGAAACAATTCGTTCCTTCGGTCGTTAGATTCGCTTCAGGAGTGTGAAGATCTGTCCGTGAATCTCAGAGACTCTGTGCCCATCCTTTCCTTGCTCATTTGGACAATATTTACATGGCAGCTTTCCAAGCTAGATGAGGTCTGTAGTCATAAATACTCCTTTGAAAGACTGTCTGCCAGGCTTTTGCTGAATGTGGGGAATTCACATTCGTTCAATAAAAGGGGTTTTGTCGGGACCAGGACTCTGTCTCGTGCTCTTTGGGGAAGCCTAGGTCAGAACACTCTCTGTATGTTGTCCTTGAAGAGGCAGAAGCTGCAAAACCTGATTGCACTCGGTGCAACTTGCGTGGCAGCTGCATAAACAGGTATCTGCATAAACAGGTATCTGTGGATAGCAGGGTTATGTCAGGGAAACTCAGGGCTTGGGGAATATGCTCCTCTCTGCTTTAGGCTTGTGGCTGTCTTGAACGAAATCCGTCTGCTCCAAAGGGATTGCTTGGCCAGCTCTCAACCCCCTTCCTCTTTCTGCATGCTCGGTGTGTGTGTGTGTGTGT